CCAGGTAAAGTGCGTTGCATCAGGGGATGGCAGGACGTCCCCTTGGTGACGCTGCGGCGAAATGGTTGCCTGCAATTCACATTGCAAATATAACTCACAAGGGGAAAATTTGTAAGAGAAATTATGATGAACTAATCGCTCGGTAAAAAACGAACAACAATCACTCAATTAAGAAATGCTGAAATGAGGACTTTTTTGTTTTGTTTTTTTTTCCAGCCTAGTCTCTGCCACGTGCGGAGGGATGGCCTTTGCACGTGTAACCCGCCGGCCAGAATCCCAAGCAGGCCTAACTCCGCCTCAAAATGGTCCCTTGCGTTCAACGTCAGCGATTGTTCGACGTCTTTCCGATCTCATGGTGTGCCGGTGCGCTAAGTCGTGAGGCCGGGTGCCGCTGCGCCGCTGCCTGACCACCGGCGCGCGTCAGTGGATGAACAGGTGGCCTGAGCCCACGCAGGCGCCTTCGACGGGGGCTGCCTCTTTCGTGCGTGTCATTTGATTTGAATAAGGCGACAGCTTAAGATTATTATTGATTGCATTCATTATAATATAATGGGATATACTACATGATTGTGTAATCTAACTATTGTCAGGCTCTTGAAATGACCCTATAGCATTCACAGATATTAGAAAGTCTTGCGCCGCCCATAGCGATCAAATGTATTTCAAAGGTCACTTCGGGTAAAAACGATCGCAGAGGAAAAGTTATAATGAAGTTAAAAAGCAGCTTCTTTATTGATTCTGCTTGCAGAATTTGCGATCAAATGCAATCCACACCTTTCAATCTAACTCTACCACAAATTTCTTTTTTCAAAACATGAAAGCCTTTCCGGCCCAATCAGCCGCTACGTAATACATGATTCTATAATTTGTATCAAAATCCTATTTCGCATCGAATGTATCACAAAATAAGCCTCACAGAAGTAAAAAGCAAACTTATTTGTCTGCACTTCTTCCATTTCAATGCGCTTATCCATCTAGCGCATGGATTGATAGGTCTTCTGGACTCGATTGGATGCTATCTAGCTCAGTTATGAGCATTATTGATCTGAATATTGGCATTCCACGGGTGGCTACAATGCCTTTAGTTTGGAAAAAAGGATTCCCCAAAATTCTTGCGGGGGCGGGGGACTGCTCTCTTTGCCTGCCGCCCCCCCCCCCTCCCCCCTGCTGCTGCGCCACTCCTGCCCCCGGGCACGCTCGGACGCGTAGGCGGCGCCGGCGCCTGACCGCGTCGGGCAGCCGCCGCGGGAGCGGCGCTAATTAGCCGGGCGGCGGCAGTGTCGTCGTCGCCGTCCGGGCGGCACTAACGGCCGCTGACACACGCTCCGCCGCCGGCCAAACAATCTGCGTGCGCCTGAGCGGGCCGTCACAACAGGCGGCGGCAGGTGCGGGTCGTCCCGCCGGGGTGATCGGCGGCCGGACGTCGCCCGTGCGCACTTGTCAACAGGCGGCCGTCACTGCGGCCGCCAGTCGGGACGGCCGACGGTCGGCGGCCCGCACGCCGCACGCCCGTGCCTGCCGACGCGGGGCGCAGCTGATCAGAGGGTGGTGATGGTGGTCGGTGATGCGCAGCCCGCGGGTGGGTTGGGGGTGCATCGTAGCGATGGTCACATGGGTGAAGTGTGTAATGGTAGTACACTATATCGAGCAACCGCTGGTGATCATAGGAGACCAGGGGTATCAGAGGTATGGAATTCGACTCTCTGTGATACCGCCCCCCCCCCCCCTGCCAGGGTGAGAGGTAGGCGATGCCATGCAGCCTGAGCGGCTAAGCGCGTCGCAAAGCTCCACTGACGACAACCGCCCTGCGGGCCGATGAACCGACCTCGGCAGCCGGCCGGTGGGCTGCCCCCGGCAGCTGGCCGATGTGCGACCCCCGGCAGCCGGCTGGTGTGCGACCTCCGACAGCCGGCCAGTGTGCGACCCCCCACAGCCGGCCGGTGTGCTGCCCCCGACAGCCGACTAGTGTGCGACTCGCACAGTCACAGTGCCTGTGCTCATCAGGCGACACTCCCTGCAGTGCCGTTGGTCGCCGCGCCGACAGGTCGCTCGTGAAATGTAACGACTCCTTTGGAGACGCTTATCCTTATAGCCCAGGCGCAACACGCTGGCGGAAATCTCCGGAATTATTGCGAGTGGTAAGCAGGCAGGGAGTCAGGTCCAAGGTCTAGAAGTGTTAGACAGAGCGCTTGACAACTGCCACCCGCTCTTTGTGCCTTGACAAGAGGTTTTTTTTAGGAACGATGATTGCGTGAGCTGAGAACTTTAAGCGTTGTTGGCGGGTCGCAAATAGTAATTTAGAGATCCACTGTAGGTTTAGACATGGCTGATATGTTTATCTGCTGCCCCCCCCCCTCCCCCTCAGCCATGCAATCTGAATAATGTGGTAATGATCGCCTTGGTATCTCTACCCCCCCCCCCCTAAATTGGATGGTGTAAAACTTCGACTCTGGGCTGAATGGATCCAGCAGGTGAAACCAACTTTATGCTTTATTTCGTAAAAAGAAACAAGCATCAATCACCTGATGTTTTTATTGAGTGTATGTTCTCCCTCTATCTATTTATTTTCTTTGGCTTGTTCTTTAACTTATAGACATGGGTGCCGAGCCCGAAGGTTGAACTAAATCTGTGCTGAAAAAGGAAGCTATCTTGTCGCAAACGACCACTGCCGACAACAGAAGTTCATTGGATACCGAGAATGCTAGCATTCACATCGATCGGACACGAATATCAATGCATATTTATCCACGGAATATTCTAACGTCTCTATCGCTGCGTGCAGAAGCGCATTAATCTCCGCACAATGTGAGATGATAACACCAGGGATGCGATCAATACCTGTCTGGTGACACTAGGGAGACGATTATGACTGGCCGATTGCGTACCTATAGCCGCTGAGCCGAACACCACTCCGATGACGCTGGGGGGGGGGGGGGGGGGGGAGGCTCAGCGGCCTGTCTCCGCTTCAGAAGGCCACCGGCCACCGCTCCGAGCCGAGCGCAACAGGCCGCCGCGACCCCGCCTGCCCCGAGGTGCTGACGTGTGGGCACCGCCGACCGGCCGTGAGGCCTCGGCCGGCCGCACCAGCCGCCCGGAATGAGCTGATAATCAGGCTAGGGTGTCGCCCCACGCAGCCGTGCTGGCTTATTACCGGCCACAATGCCCGTCGCCGACCAGCGCCGTCCAAACACCCGCCCGCAATGGAAGCCACCGCGCTCAATTGTCCGGCGCCAGCAACAATATTTTTCTCCCATACCCCCGGGCAGATAATGAAAATCGCCGATAATAAGCGTCTCCGGTGGGAGCGGGCCGAGATAGCCGGCCGGCGGCGGAATAAGTAAACACGGCCGATGGGGGCGCACCGCCGGCTGGCTCGATACGGCCGCGTGTCATAACGACCTGCCGGCCGTAATCCGCCCGCTGATTCGGGTCGTCGGGTGCCGAGGCGCCCGCTGGGGATCAGAAGCTGCCTCAGAGGGGCCCCGAGGCCGGTCCGAAGCTGACGGCCCAGGGGACTGCGGGATGTTTTGGAGGCTTTTTTGTAGCGTTCCATCTGTCTGATGATAAATTTTCAGACTTGTTGAGGGAGACCGTCACCTGTCGAAAGTGTTTTACCTTTGTCCTGCCTTTGGACAAATTACGTTGAGGGACTGAGTGGTGCCATCACTGAACACTGGATCATCACTGAGCGATGCCTTTACTGAGCACCGGCACATCACTACCTGGTGCGAAAATAGGCCTGTCTTGAGCGGTAATTACCTGTGTGGTACCTGAGCCCTGTGTAATATAACCTGTTTGTCTGACTGGGTGGATCAGGGCACTCCTGATTGAGAGCGTCAGGATGGGCTTGACCGGATGGATCGGGATACACCTCGGCTGGAGAGATCGGGACGAACCCGTGAAGGGTCCAGGACGGATCTGGGGAGAGATCAGGACGAACCTGTGGACAGATGGGGATGAAACTGCCTGGGGAAAATTGGGGTCATTCCATTCTGTCAGGAGTTCAGACTGGCCCTGCCAATCAGGCTAGTTCTGTCGCCAGCTGTGACTGCTGCTGAGCTGGCCCAGTGATAGGTCAGTGCCTGGCTGTCGCAGGCCATGAAGTCGAAAATGGACCGCACCGTCCGTGGCCAAAGACCACTTTCCGATGTGCGACACGGTCAGGAAACCATTAACAGAATTCTTGAGGGGGTGGTAACCGGCAGACCTTCACATTTACGGACCGAAAGAGAAATGAACCGCTAGAAATTGGCGTTGAAAAATGCGGGAACAGTTTCTCATCGTTCTTTCATGGCAGACAAGTGTAACTTGGAACAATATGAGGTATTTAGTTCAGGAAATAAAGCGGGGTTTGACCCTTACCGAGACGCAATTACAAAAATTTCGGGTCAATTTCGAGACACTGTAAGCAATTTTTGTTTGTTTTTGGGATCACGCTGCATGACTCTATCGATTTAATCACAACGTTCACGGCCCTATTGACCATTTCCGGGAATGTAATGTTAATTGTAACAATTAATGCCATTCATCTGGTAGGCTTGCCGGCAAACCTTCATAATCAAGTGATGGCTTCCCTCCCCGCAGCACACAACGGGTGATGACTTCCCTCCCAGCAGGACACAGCGGATGATGACTTCCCTGCCAGCAGGACACAGCGGATGATAACGTCCCTCCCCGCAGGGCTAAGCGGGTGATGACTTCCCTCCCCGCAGAACACAGCGGGTGATGACGTCCCTCCCCGCAAGACACAGCGGGTGATGACTCCCCTCCCCGCAGAACGCAGCGGGTGATGACGTCCCTCCCCGCAGGACGCAGCGGGTGATAACGTCCCTCCCCGCAGGACACAGCGGGTGATGACGTCCCTCCCCGCAGGACGCAGCGGGTGATAACGTCCCTCCCCGCAGAACGCAGCGGGTGATGACGTCCCTCCCCGCAGAACGCAGCGGGTGATGACGTCCCTCCCCGCAGGACGCAGCGGGTGATAACGTCCCTCCCCGCAGGACACAGCGGTTTCGATGTCGAGTACGAGCCGAGGTTCGTCGGCGAGATTCAGAATGTGACCGTGGCCCAGGGCAGGGAGGCCATCTTGACCTGCAGTGTGGAGCGCCTGGGGCCCTACAAGGTGAGGCCGCCCGTCAGCTTGTCATGCAGGCCCCAGGCAGATCTATGACCCACACAGATGTTGGTAATAGAGCCCTTGTGTTGGGTGTGAGAAACGTCGGCGGGACTTTGAATGTTTTTGAGCAGACCAGCGTTCTTCGTTAACGCGTCTGATCTCAACACGGAGTCGATGAACGTAGTCTATGAAGAACTGGTGTCAAAACGTGGTATGGTCTGTTCTAGGCCCATATAAGTTTTCGCAAGTTTCACCTCCTATAGGATTGGTGGTGATGTTTGTGGCAAAGGCTGACACACAGCTCCCGGATGTGCTGTTTCATCACCGAGCAAAGGCGGCATGCTTTTTATACCACGTCTACGGATACGATAGCCGCGCAACGATGTCGACTACAAGTGGCTTCTCGTCCAGCACTGTTACAGGCTGCAGTATTGTGGCGCGCAAGACTAGTATGGACATCCGACTCGTGATTCAGACAGTTCCCGAGCCGTATTTTCTGTGGGCGTTATTCAAGTGATAGTGGCATGAACGGTGTCAGCACTATCTGGGCACCTCCCTGACGACATACAGTCGCATCCTGCACGTGGCTTGGATAGCAAGGGGTCGACGCAACATATTGGTATTTGCATGGACGGCCGGAAGCAGCTGCTAAGAGGCCGTACGGTGACTGCCAGTCCTTTTCGGGGTGTCTCTGGGATCTGTCGCCGGGCCGGCCGTCTTCAGCCTGTTTACGAGTGATCTCCGCTGACACTGGGCTGTCGAGTGATTGCTATTATTTAGTTAGTAATTGTTTGTGACTTGTGTGTGATTTTTTTTTTAATTGTTATATTACATACATATATATATATATATATATATATATATATATATATATATATATATAATTATGATTTATTTATATGGTCTATATATTATATAAATATACAACTTATTTATAAGATGTCAATTAATTGTAGCATATATAATTGTAAATAAATTGAATTATTAGTGAACTGATGCTAAATAAGCTACGAAAAGTAGCGGGCATTCCCCTATCTGGGGGCCTCCCGCGCCCAGGCCGCGTCGGCTGGCCTTTCACGGCGTTCTGACCGGCCCCAGGTGGGCTGGCTGAAGGCCGACACCCAGACCATCCTGACGCTGCACAAGCGCACCATCACGACCAACCGGCGCATCTCGATGACGCACGACCAGCACCGCGCCTGGAGCCTGCACGTGCGACGCGCGCAGCCCTCCGACGGCGGCTGCTACATGTGCCAGATCAACACGGTGCTGATGAAGAAGCAGATCGGCTGCATCGCCGTGCGAGGTGCGTGATGGGGACGGCCTCGGGCTGGCTGTGGGCGGGGCGGACTACCCGGCAGGGGGCGCCACTGGGCAACACCCTCACGTGGACCCGGCGGCATAATGGTCATCTATGCTGTCCCGGTGTTTGTTGTCCTGGGGTGGTGATTTTGGCGCGGCAAACAGTAAGGCACAGCATTGCCTTACTTATCGCACGTGAAGACAGCGAGGAGCTACTTTAAAACAACCACCCCTTCGCCGATCTTGGAATGCATTTTGTACGATATTCGCCGCCGTCTTTGTCGCGGCCCCCACCCTGAGACCATCAGCACCATTACCAATGGTACACGGTCTACCAAATCTCATCGTTACACCATGGAGCTAGGAAGTTACCTACCACCGTTGTAAGGTACTCAGCAGATTCGCGACCAAAATGGTCTTCCACCTAGCTCTCTCAGCCAGCGACGGCAACGGACCGCCGCCGCCTCCATCGCGGCGTCCGCGTGCCCGGCTCGGGTCTGTTCCCAGTCCCGCCGATGTTCGACAACGCCGGCACGAGCCGTGACGTCAGCGTGCACGCGGGTCAGAACGTGACGCTGACGTGCCGCGCCGATGGCGACCCGGCTCCGCGGATCAGCTGGCGCCGCGAGGACGGCCGGCACATCCCGGCCGCGGCGCCGCACGCGCACCTCCAGACGGGTGAGCCCGCCGGCACGGCAACCGGTCAGGGCAGCCGCCAGGCGCACTCACGCCGGGTATGGCGTCAAAAAGGTCGAATGGAGTGCGTTTCAGGACGGTGAGGTTGATGAGCGTTCTGAGCTAGCGTTCCATGTGGTGGCGTAGCGCCTGGTGTCTTCAAAATGCTGCGGCTTTCATCTGTGTGTCTTTCAACCCATTCTGATCCGCACCCTCTCGCCGCATCTGCCAGCGGAGCTGCAGGGTGAGCGGCTCCACCTGGTGCATGTGACGCGCCACCACTCGGGCGCGTACCTCTGTATCGCCAGCAACGAGGTGCCGCCGGCCATCAGCAAGAGGATCATGGTGAACGTGGCCTGTGAGTGACGCGTGCAGCCGAGCGGAGCTCATGGAGCTCGTCCGGCACGGCCGGCTTCCCTGGTCGGGAGAGTGCCCGCAGGCGGAGCCCGAGGCCGACACCGTACAGGCTGGGTCACACCGACGCGCCGCACCGGCCGGCAGCTTCGGGGTCGCGAGAAGGGACACAGCAGGACGGCTGGGGCACCGGCACACCTGGTGCAGCAGCGGTGACACACCTGAGTCCCTTGATACAGCTGGGACACACCAGGCGCAGCAGCAGTGACTCACCCGAGTCCCTTGATACAGCTGGGGCACACCCGACGCAGCAGCAGTGACACACCTGAGTCCCTTGATACAGCTGGGACACACCAGGCGCAGCAGCAGTGACTCACCCGAGTCCCTTGATACAGCTGGGGCACACCCGACGCAGCAGCAGTGATACACCTGAGTCCCTTGATACAGCTGGGACACACCCGGTGCAGCAGCAGTGACACACCTGAGCTCCTCGATACAGCTGGGACACACCCGGTGCAGCAGCAGTGACACACCTGAGTCCATTGATGCAGCTGGGACACACCAGGCGCAGCAGCAGTGACTCACCTAAATCCCTTGATACAGCTGGGGCATACCCGACGCAGCAGCAATGACACACCTGAATTCCTACGGATATACGGACACGGATACATGATACAGATGGCACAAACCTGAGTCCCTTGATACAGATGAGGCACACTTGGCGCGGTAGCAGGAATTCACCACCCGCGAGCAATCAGGCGCCGACAGAGATGCGTGGTCACTCGCATAAAAGGCCCATTTAAGCTCACGAGCTTGTCCTGTGTGTTAAGAGACATGAACATGGCGTGCCATGGAAAACCCAACCGTGGTGAAGAGAATCCACCACGGAGCACATTTTGGGGAACGTGTTTAGTCTCTTCAGATGCGCTGCTGGTATGGAATGTGTACACAAACGTGGATGTCCTTGTGTTCGTGCTCGCCCACGATCGACGCCAGATCTGACCGACTATGCGGATTTGTCTCATCTCATTGCAACAACGACAAAAAGTTACAAAAACCGACGTTACCATGCGGTCCGATTCCAGCAGTGTCAATGGTAGTAGCGACTGAATGGTGTTGCGAATGTCTGCTGGCGGTCCCTGCCGTGATCGGCAAGCGCCACTGGGCGTGCTAGCTGGTGGCGCTCCCTCTGCCGCAGTCGGTGACATTTCCTGCCGCGGCTCGTCCGCCAGCCGGTGCGTTGTCTGACGAGGCCTCCTCCCGCAGTCGCGCCTGTGGTGCGCATCTCCAGTCAGATGCTGGGGGCGCCGCGCGGCTCGGATGTCACGTTAGAGTGTCAGATCGAGGCCTCCCCCTTGCCGTCCACCTACTGGCTGAAGGGCGGCCTGGCGCTGGACACGGACGAGTAAGCTCCACCGCCGCGCGGCCGGCAGTCCGCGCGGCCCGCACGGGACTCATGCACTTCGTCACGGACTCCTCCGGCACTGGGAACACCCAGAGATGCTGACACGCCGCGAGGGTATCCCAGGTGGAGAGACTTTTTTGTGTGGAGAGACGTGACTGGGTGAAGAGGTATTTTAGGGCACGTACTTTTTTCAGAAAATGATCAGTACCTATCCAGGTCACATCACCACCAGGACACGTTTCCCTTCCGAGATGCAAGTTTGGTACATGAAGTTATACACCATACTAGCTAGTTAGATGTACCTAAGTGTCGTGCACAGTGGTTTGGCTTGCTCGTAATTCGAGTGCTTTCGGCACTATAAACCATTTCAGGGGTATGGGACCTCCCCCGGGCATGTGCGGACGCCGGGGTGGGACTCGCGCCAGGGCGCCCCGCCCAAGATCACACAAACGGCCGCAGCTCGTCACGGCAACACGTGGGGTTGAGATGATTTAAAACACAGTGACGATTGAGGATAGAGGGGCGGGCCGCGCAGCGACCTGGAAAAGGCAGGCATTGTGGAGCAGCGTGGGACATTTCAACGGTGTGATGGTGCACTGCACCCGTGCACGTAGCCGAAACTGACCCGTGCACCGTCAACTTCTCAGGTTGAAATATGTGATGCGGGAAACGCATAGCGGCCACAAAACGCACGTGGCCCTGCGGATCCGGGACTTCCAGCCCGGCGACGCCGGCCTGTACACGTGCATCGCCAGCAACGCCATCTCTCGGGCCGAGGGATACGTTCGGCTTAGCGAGGTGGCGCGACCGACGGCGCCACCGTCGCGGCAGGCCATCTTGACGCCGGCGCCGCGCCGGCCAGAGCAGCGGCGCCGGCCAAGCGTGGTCACCAAGCGGCCACAGCCGTCACCAAGAGGCCGCACCCCAGCAGCCGCCAGCACCACCAGCACTAGTACCAGCACCACAGCGGCGCCGCGCCGGCCGGACCCGGCGGCAGGTGGCACGACGGCAGTGGCCGACCGTCTGAGGCCGGCGCTGCTGCTAATTGTCGCTGTCCGGCTCGCCCTTTTCGCTCCCTGATCAGCAACCGGCCCTCGCACCAGTTGAACGCTGTCGCACTACCTCCCTGCTCGCCCTCTCAAACGGCTGGTCCCGTCACCTGCGACGAAAGTAGGCAAATGTTGGCGCTATATTATTTATTCGGTATAAGAATGTCAGCAATGGGAGGAGGTGGGAGGTCTGTTCAAACAAAACGTACCGTGAAAGATCAGACTACTGCCCAGCTGAAATTGCGTGATGCATTTCGAGATGTTCTTTATAACCATATTCAATTCGCATGCAACACCAGGTCACGGCACGAGAGACTGCAAATGCAAGTTTGTCAGCAGGCAATAAACGTTGTCACATGTTTCTTAGAATATATCTGATATTCGAAACTGATCCAGAATATTCTATTGAAACCTTTTCCACTTTAAAAAGAGCAGCTACAAGAGACTCGGAAACGTGCGGGACGCGTGTCGATATTTCGTTCCCATTCACAAAGAAAGAGTGGTGTCATATTTCATCGCGAATTATCTATTAACTAAAGCACTTTTCATCTCAGCAACAGATCATATTTCAGACAGCAGCAAGCGAAGAGCGCCAGCATCCCTTTGATAAGAAATTTCAGCTCTGGTAAACCGTCGATAGTCGATACGTACCTGTTCATTGTTAAAGCACCGCCCATATGTAAGACCCTAGTTTCGGCTGGCGGAGTCTGCCACCACTAACCCCTGGCCACGGGATGGTTCGAGGCACAGAGGCCGGCGATGAGGGGTGAGGCCGGTTAGCTGATATAATGTTGGTCACGCGGCGCGTGGCGAGTGGCTGGGCCCGCTCGCGTACGGCCGTGACACCATATGCCTGGGGCATGTTCCTCGACTACATCATACCTATATTAAACAAACTATCCATGTGCCTGGCCATACGCTTCACTGCCCTTCTCGGGAGGGATTGCCGCTCCGAATTTAACTGGCATGTGCTACTCGCTAGAATATTTCGGTGGGAAACAGCGAGTCCGTGATAGTAAATGCTGAACGACTGACAAAATGCAGTGGATGATCGGCATCACGTATCATATTGAGAAGACTACAGGTTTGCATTCATAATCGTAAAAGGGTGAAAAAGGTAGCCGATTCAGCAATTTTGCTAGCACTCTGCGTCAATGCCTCCAAAAAGTAAAGGAAAGGCAACTTATTAATCACGTGGAAGAACATTATTTTTAAGAACTTCGGTTGCGCAACGTGTTCAAACACTTCTTGTCTTTTAAATTGCGGTCAAAGGTCAAAATGTATGTATTCTAATTAACACTTATGAGCCCGAAACATTGTTCGCTCCAAAATTGATTTCCTTCTAAAGCGCTGAAGATATACGATTATATCAGTTCTGAAATTGTTTCATCAGAAAGTAACCTACGGCCCGAAAAGCAGCACCAGCACACAATAAAGGTGAGAAGGACCGAAGCCACATGTAAAAAAGGTACTATGCATCATTCGGGTTTTCCAACGCGCCCGACTGCTGAGGCCACGGGGCGTCGCGTAGCATTAAAGGCATTGGCGTCGCCTGTCCCTTACCTTGGCAGGGGGCGCACACCTCAAGGTGCCGAACCCTGCACCTCTGGTTTCCCTCACGCGCAGCTTAACCACTACACTATCGGTAACCTTAAAAAAGAAGTCATCAAATTAACATCGAATATTGTTGCGCCGTGGGAAAGAGCACGTTGGTTCCTGGTTATTTGGATTACAGCCATTTCGGCCAGTCGTGGTCCTTTCAGCATTATGGGATGAATGAGAATGGACCACGGTGGGGTAGGACTATATGCACCTGGGGTTCCATTCGCCAAGGATTTTCATATACAGCAACCCCTCTGCGGGGTGTGTGCATGACGCTCGGACGGGGCCCCCACCATAGGGCCGCTCGGCCCGCTCATGGTCGACGCATGCTGCCTCCGTCCGTCGGGCGGGCTGTCGCGAGGACGCAGGACAAAGCGAGCGAGAGGATAGCGTGACGAATGACAGGGGCTAATTTCAGAGAGCATGTCACCTGATGAGACATGTGCAACGCGATAATACGCACACCACCATGTTGTCTCTCTCCGAGCAGTCAGGGACGTTGGAAGTGAAATAAGAGATTTAAGACACGGCGTGCAGCACTGACGCGCGGCGTCAGATTCAGAAATCATACGTTTCGCGCCCAGTTCTGAAAGCCATCTTTTATCACGCAAGCCGCTTGTGACTGTGTCTTTCACACGTATGTACGCGGATAGCCGTGTGGGAGTAAGCTGAAACACTCATGAGATACATCCATGGACTAACCCTCGACACGTGGACTGACCAAGATGTCTCACTTCACGACAGTCCGGTGATGAGCAGCTCCGATCGCATGGGCCTGGAGCTGCAGGCGGCCCCTCCTCAGCTGCGGGAGGTGCTGCTGGAGTTCACGCTGAACGTGCTGCTGCACCAGCCGCCCGACATACTGGACTTCGCGCTCGAGTACTTCAACAAGCTCAAGGATAAACGAGACAGCGAGAAAAGTGGATCGAGCAAGTAACGACTGGGCCGATCAGTGTATTCAGCTCAGTGTGTAAGCTCCAGTCTCATCAGTGTGGTTCCGTTTCCATCCTGTTTGCCTTGGTAACTTTTCCCAAATGAGCCGATGCCGCGGCACCTCCACAGTTCACATTTTTAATGGTTTTTAATTTATTTTTAATTTAAGGTTAATGGTTTTTTGTATTGTAATGGTATTGTAATGGTAAATTTAAGGTTAATGGAGTATAAATGGTACATAATGATCCATTTTGTGCCATAACCTCTAAATTATGAATGTGCTGCTAAACGTGTGTATTTGACACCTTTCAAAAAGATACCAGAGACCGAACCGGACAAAACACAATGGAACTGTGCGCTTCTACAATGAGCGAAATCAAACTGACTGTCAGCAGTACTTTTATTGCAAATGATGGATGAACACAGCAATGAAAAATGACACGCTTTTATGACAACCACCGGATACCTTCCCTGCACGTTCTCCGACAACACGTTCCCATCAGAATAGACATGATATGATTGTGGCAGGAGTCCAATGTTCAGTCTTCTTCGACAGCACGCAGGCGGGAGTGGCGTGTGTGTCAGAGGCGCGCGAGCACGACACGGCTCGAAATCACAGTACCTGTCTGGGGTCAGCAGCCACAGGGCCGCTCCAGTCTGAGGCGCCTTCTCAGCGCATCAGCCTCTACAGCGGCGGGGGGAGCGGGGCTCGCTGCTCTCAAAAGACTGCACAATCCCTGCCAGTTTCCAGTACGATCTGACCCTTCTCTGCACGTAGCCAGTGCAGTCCGGGGCAGGGATGAGGGGGCTCAAACGCTGGCCTGCCGCGGCCCCGCTCAGCGCGCGCAGGCCCACCTCTCCAGTCGTGCTGGGGACGCTGCCAGCCGGCCGTCTCCAGCTGGGCCGCCGGCGGCCTCAGCCGTCGGTCTGGAAGCGGGTCCAGAGCGGCTGCACCGGCTTGGCTGGCAGCCGGTGCTCGGGGAGGCGCAGCGCCGTGGCCGCGTGCGTCAGCTGCAGTGCACAGTCCGGGTGCGCGTTGCCCGGCAGCAGCGTGCACTCGCGCTCCAGAATACACGCCACGCTCTCCAGCGCCTCGTGGAAGCCGAACGCCAGCGCTGCGCTGCGCACGCGGTTCAGCTCCTGGTGGGACGAGCGCACCGGTCAGTCTGTCGCCTGGCTGACTGGCTGCTCAACAGCGGGGCGGCTTCTCACAGACTTAAGTGCCGTGACAGATTGCGAACGTGCCAGCAGCAACGCCCAGTCAGCCCACCGACGACACACGGCACCACGTCGCGAGCCGGACCAGCGGCACCAGCGGTACTGTACCGCGAGCCGGACCAGAGGCTCGTGCGGTACCGCAGCGGGACGTCCACACACACACATGGCAAAGACCTGCGCAGACACGCCCCGCGGCCCGGCTCCACGGCGCCGACCGAGACCACTCGCCTTGTAGAAGTGCTGCGTTTTCTCGGGCAGTTTCCTGGCGTGGCGCAGCACCTTCTGCACGTCCGAATGCAGGCCCGACTGCTTGATCCAGGTGACGCACGTCTGCTGATAGCTGCGCTTGCGCGACACTTTGATGGGGAAGGGCGAGGCGACGCCGGCGGCGGCGGGCCCCAGGTTCGTGAAGTCGCCCAGCCACGGCAGCACGCTCGTCCCTGTCAGCCAAAGGGGAAGATGGGGCGAGGCGAGCGGGCACGAGCGGCGGGTGGCTGTCACAGGGGGGAAGACGTGGAGAGGTGAACCAGCACGAGCGGCGAGCGGCTGTAACAAGGGAAAGACGGGGCGAGGTGAGCGAGGACGAGCGGCTATTACAGTGGGAAGACGGGGCGAGGTGAGCGAGGACGGGCGGCTATCACAGTGGGAAGACGGGGTGAGGTGAGCGAGGACGAGCGGCTATCACAGTGGGAAGACGGGGCGAGGTGAGCGAGGACGAGCGGCTATCACAGTGGGAAGACGGGGCGAGGTGAGCGAGGACGAGCGGCTGCAGCAGACGGAAAACGGGGCGAGGTGAGCGAGCACGAGCGGCGAGCGGCTGTAACAGGCGGAAGCCGGGGCGAGGTGAGCGAGGACGGGTGGCAGGCGGCTGGCGGTCTGCTGCGGGATGGGCTGACCCCGGCAATGACCGAGTGTAAGATGTCACAGAACCCTCCCGCTCGCTATGTATCTCGTCCGATGCCGAGCGGCTGTACTTCTGTTCCGGAATCACCGGGAGCTCGCGGGCAGAGGTGAGCAGTCTGGGCACAGCGCCAGTACACGCACTGACCTGGTTCGAAAAGCGACAGCATGAGGTTGGCCTTCTTCTTGCTGTCAGCCCAGGAGTAGACGATGCCGTACCAGTCATCACCCACGTTGACAAGGGCTGCTGCGTTCTCACGCTGTGAGGCCCGAGACCAACAGCGGTGTGAGGCCACCAGGCTAAGATTCGTGATCCGTCACAGAGGGATTCAGGAAATATTACGACTTATAGTGTCGTGAACCAACTGCACATATCACCCGCTAGAGCCTCTGTGACGGACTTGCTGCACAGATAGCGCGGAGTCCGTACTTGCCTCACAGATAAAGCGGAGTAAGTCCGCCACCGAAAACAGGTGTACGGTCAGAGCCGCACCGTGCACATAGATCACCACACGACATATGGCCTCGGCTGTACATGAGGCGACCTGGACCTGATGCTGGCATTAACACGGGCTGAGCCAACATGCATATTGGCGACCTTGGGACGCCTGGCCGGGGGCATCGAAAGCGACGCGAAGCCCGCCACCTGCTGGTACAACCGGGTCCATCTCCAGCGTTGTCGGCGCAGCAGGCTCCGTGCCGCGGCACCACCACCACCACCTAACTTCACAGCGACGGTGCCCACACCGACGCGGGTCACGGGGGTGGCCTGTGTGACCTGACCTTGAGGCCGCCGTGCAGCAGGACACAGAAGCAGGGTGTCCGGACCGCCTCGTCGTCCTCCGAGCAGGGTACCGCCGACACGTCGTCCGCGTCTGCGCGCAACACGCGACACCAGGTCACAACGGCTGCCCTGGTGGCCGGGAGTTTAGGGGTGGGCGGCGGTGCTGATTCGTGGACCAAGCCGCTACCGCAATACCACTCCACGACAGCTCACTAAGTGTAGTCGGGTACAAGGACAGCTTATGCCACAAAACACGAGCACGTCGAGGAGCGTCTAAACACACATGGCATTGACTTGTCAGATCGTGGGGATACGCCAAGCGTGGTAAGTCTTAACCTCAAGGCTGTCAACGGTGTTTCGGACACGTGCGCAAAACTCGGTCACCTAGCTGATGACAAAATGACAGAACTGATGCATGCCGGCTGGGTGAGTTTCACGTGGGAGTCAGCTGGTTCCCACATGGACCTAAACCCCTAACCTTGGCCTATGTGAGCGGGTCGGCTGACTGTTCCGGAAAGGAAGACAGCCGTCACGTGAGACGTTCAGTGACAGGTCACAGGACAACATCGCCTATTAAACGCCGCGCCATGGGGTCGCCAGAAAGCCCGCCCAGCGGAGACGGCTCGCCACTCCCAGCCAAGAGTGGCGCCACTCCCGGCCGGCTCCAGCTGCTCCACTCTAGCGACGTTTGGTCGCGGGCGGCGGCGGCCGCGCCAACACTTGCCTGCCGGCGCCGGCAGCACCAGGTGTCGGGAGTAGGCCGGCGGACTGGCCACGTCCACCACCGACAGGAAGCCGCAGATCTTCAGGTCGGCCGACACGGTCCGCTTCACGGCCTCGAAGTCGCGCATCCGGTTGTAGGTCTGACGCCGAGGAGAGGGGTGGGGAGGGGGAGGGGGTGTCAGTGAATGGCCGGGTCTGCGCGCCGGCCATGAAACCCGGCTTGACGCGCCAGCATTGGCCGCTCGTCATCGACGGAAGCAGCGGAAGGTGGACCACCTCAGGCGCAGCGCGGGGGCGGTGCTGGCAACGCTAGGCAGCTGTGGCCATCAGATGGAGACCGCAGTCGAGGACGGAGAGAAGAGATGGAAGAACGCATACATAGATAGGGAAAGAGAGGATGCAATCGAGCACCAAAAGTGACGCGCTCGGGTGAGAATAGGACACGGCCCGACTGATTTGTTTCGGACTCGTTCGGAGGTTTGTTGTTTGTCATTGCACAACAAAACTAAGTTCAAAAAAGAAGAGGAAGAAAGAGGAAGACAAGGGAAGGTTTCAACGAAGTTATCCGTAAAAGGCAAACACAAAGATCTCGGGTTTGCCCAATCGCACAACTAAAACAGCGTGAGCAGGACCGTTTGGGGTATCGATCGGCGCTGCCACAGCCACCTGGCGGCGGTGCCTGACCTGACCTGACCTGGGGCGGCGGACAGAGCGTCACCGGCGACGACAGGCTGCCGCAGTGCAGCACGCCGCTGAACGGCGCGTAATTGGTCTCGGCCAGCTTGCGGAACAGCGCCAGCGTCGACTGAAACCAATGCGGCGCCGCTGTAACCGGCCGCACGGCGGAGGCAACCACGTGGGGTGTCGGCGGTGAGGGTACGTTTGACAACGCAGAAATATATGCCGGGCTGCAAATTGTAAATCCCACACCGAGTCAGGCATGGTCGAGCATGGACCTAGTTAAACATCGTCGACTGCACGTTAAGCAGGACCGTTCCATCCTTACCGGTCCCCATGAGCTTCCCAAATGCGCATGATAAGGTTCGGTGCGGTTAGCTTCATAATCTTCAGTGTAACTACCATAGGAAGCCTCACACACACCAACTCGGTACGGAGCGCCAGCTTTCGACCAGCGCTGTGGTATACGACCGTCGCGCCGGTCACACGTCCAGCCGCTTCCGCACCTTGGCCGAGAGGGGCGGCTCGGGCGTGTGCACCGCGCCCTCGCCACCGCTGAGCTCGACCAGTCGCTGGAAGGCGGCCGGCGCGCCGCGGCGCTCCAGCTCGGCCCGCTCGCCCAGCAGCACCACGTCCAGCCGACAGGGGAACGAGAAGGGCAGCGGCAGCCGGCCGCCGGCCGACAGGTGGCGCAGCGACGACTCGCCCACGCCCATGCTACCGTCCGTGATGATGATCACCTGGCAGAGGGGGGGGGGGGGGAGGCGGGGCAGCGTCAGCTCGCATGCCCTTTGGCCACCGTCACCCAGCACGGACCGCGCGCAAACGTCCGAAAATCACTCGCGGTAGGAGAAATGGAGTCGATGGCGGAGAGCAGGGAGCGGAGAAAATTCTTTACCGAAAACAAACATAACCAAAAGGATATCTGATAACGGTCAAGTAATTCATGTCAATGTTATTTCGCGACACATCGATGCATGGATGTGCACTTGACGATTATCGATACATCGAAGCATGCGTGAGGCGGGCGGCCGGTGCGTCCACCCGTCCGGGCTGAGCGGGCGGGCGGACCGGCCTGCGTGGAAGCAGAACCGGCTGAACCCCACCTCAAGCTGACCTGGCAGGCAGTGCCGCTGCCCCACTCCTCGGCTACCACGGCATTGACGCCGAGCAGCGCCGTCTCGACACAGGACTTGTCGTACTCGGCCAACGAGGACAGCTGGCTCTTCAGCTGGTCAAAGTCGCGCGTGAACGAGCCCAGCACCTCGTACCTGGAGCTGTACACTGCCTGCCGATGCAAGCAAGTGACATAGGTCTAATGACGTGGCACTTAACTTAATGCACACTCTCAAATATGATGCTATACCTGCACTTATGCTGTGAATGGGGCTATACGACGCGCTCAGCTGCCGAAGCCATATGGGATCGCCTGTCTTTCACACTGGTAAAATGGCAAGCAACGTAGGAAATCAAACTCTGTCCCTCTGGTTTCCGAAATCTACATTTTCAAGGCCATAATGTGCAACAAATCACATGAGTTATTCTACATCAACTGCAATGAAGGTCACACCTGGGCAGGTCATGTCATTCAGTACAAAGACAACCCTGCAGGTGCAGTGTTGTCTTCTACCGTCTTTTACTGCTTACCACTGCAGCAAACTCCAGTTTGCAGTTGTGGTGAATGTGATTCAGCAGAGCATGAATGCCTTTGATTGCCAGCTGACGAACTGTGGGTGGGTCCTCCGTACGATCCGGTTGGGGAACCAGCTGACTCATTGACAGAGACACATCCAGCCCAATCACTGTCGGCATCCTGAAACTGGCTTGCTGACCGCACCTACTGCAGATGGGAGACCAGCACAGAGGCAGGTTATCACTTTTTTGCACAGGATGTGATATCACTCATGCCTAATATAGCACAGAAGGCACAGAGCTCACTTGGGAAGGGGCTTCATCAAAACGGTTTGGCACTTCTACAGTTTGGGAAACCCACTGACTTGCAAGATGTTGTCACATCTGGCAGAGCTTGTACATCTATATAATTTTTTTAATCTGTCATCTTTGTATCCAGCCTATCAGGTTCATCATCCTACTCTGTCAACTTGGTATTAAGCATATCAGGTTCATCACAACAAACAACACTCTCCCTTGTTCTCAACTTCATGGACAGTGGGTGGATTCTTTACCTCAGTATTTCTAAGATTTAATGCAGCATCAATGAGTGTCCTTTTGGGGGGCCTGTTATTCAACATGTGTTTGATTCCTCATCTGACATCTAAAGGTAAACAGGCCTGAGCATCATTTTTTTTAAAATGGGGCTATATTCATCCTTTGATACAGCTTGAATAACTTATTTTGTGGTGTAAAGTCAAAGTTTGAAAAGATATCCATTCAAAATTGGTATGAATTTATTTTTCTGGGCACAAAAGCATGTGATTTGCTGAAACCTAAAAAATTTTCTGCTAGACAATTCACCTGGTGGCACTTATGCCTTTTTTCCATTGGATAGAAGACTACAATGAAAATCATTGCAGTGATTATAAAACTCATTGCTGATGGTGATTAGTTCATGGGATGCCAACTGGGATGGTCCTTGTGCACCCAGAACTCCTTATCTTTTGATTCACATCATGCAAAATTAAGTATCAATTTGGCTACCAGCTGAAACACAAACCTTTGAAGCAGATATGATTTAGCTCAAGGAGATGAAGTTTACGTTCAGCATTGATTTCAACAGAATTGATTCTACTAAGATGTGATCACGATACAGATGGGCACATTAGCTTGATACACAGGCAACTTAAGAATAGAACACAAACTTATTAGCCCCCAGGCAATTAACAGTTGATTTTATTTCCTAGAATAACTTCTTTTTAAGGTTTATTTTATGCATGCACTGGCTGCCCTACTATAAAACATAAATTAAGTTTAATTCCTGTATTTGAGGACTCTGAGGTGGCTTGTTTCCAGACTAAAAAATCCATGAAATGTTGAATGTCTGGTGTAGTGGCAGCACATCAGCAACCATTTCATAATGTATATGCTGTGAACTTGAGCACTCTGAGCTTCAGACAAACATGCTCAAAATGCTTGTTTTAAAGAAAAGGATTGAATATACAGCACAAATTGTTCTGACCTGAGTTAAGCTCATGCCAGAAAGATGTTACCTGTGCCATTTGCACAGCCATCCTGCACCACAGATAAATTTTTGCAGTCTGGGCCTGATTGACTAAGTCTGACTCTTAACTCACACAAACACACACACCTCTTGTGACAATTTCATGAACAAATTCCGATCTGACTGAATGAAAATTTGGTCAATTCTGGAATTCAAATTCCTACTAAAATCAGGCACCAACCTATGATTCTCAAATCATGAAAAAAATCCATGAAACCCATCTCCCACTCATCCCACCCAGTCACCACCCAATCCCACTCATCCCAACCAACAAACTGGACAAATTTGCCGCCAGTTACCTAAAACTCTACTTTAAGTAATATCCAGCTGCCTCTTGACGGCATACACGAGCACGATCTTGCAAGTTCGGCCAATATCAATGCCTCATGGCTCGCACAGACCACCCCTATAGCCTAATACCATATTTTTTGATGAACTTCACCCGCACCGTCCAATATGTGTGTTTATTGAAGCTACTGCGCCATGTTCTGCAACCAACACAACGGGATAAGCTAGCCATGAGATGGTAGCTCTCTTGTTTACGATGACGTCAAATTAGACAGAATTATTGAACTCTGAAACACCAATATGATCGGTTTTATGAAAGCAACTAAATCAAAAAAATGTGATAACTTTTTATAGAATTAGATGAAAAATATATCTCAGACATCAAATGAGCTTTCTTGACCAAGGTTTAAATCTACCTCGTACGTCATACCTAGTAAGTGCTACCATATCATCAGCTGTGGACCTTGCCTTTGCTACTTCTGAAATAAGCGTAAGGCTGACATGCAGTGCAGCTACCGGAATAGTGAAGGTGGTGGATGGTTAACGTGGCTGTTGCTGGCTTTTTAACAGTGGCTCTGTGCTCCTCACACGAAATCGGACTGTATGAGTATAGTCACGCCGTAGGAGCGCGCGGGTTGGCAACAGGTAAGCTGCTTCTATGGTGTGGTCGGGGTTATGTGCCCTATGATGTATTTAGTAGAAAGATTGGTTAATTTGGACAGGTCATCGGTCATTGAAAGATTGAAGTGGTATTGCACCATCATCAGGGCAGAAAGTGCAAACGTTGAAATATGCTGATTGCCATTTCTTATTGTTTAAAGCTTACTGGAACTATGTTTTTCACCTTGTTTTATGCAAAGCGAGGGTCAAAATGTTGCGGTGTGATGTTATTTTGTGGTTTCTGTTGCACATGTGTTTTGAACAGGAACATTTAATATTATATGGATGTTTCCAAAGGTTAAGTGTGATTTTCTTAATCTTTTGAATGGGATTATGATGATTGTCAGTACTGTGAGCAAAGATGATGCATTTAATGTTCAAGAGTAATGTGCAATACATTTAATTTATGCTCAAGAGTAATGTACAATGAAGTAATGTGCAAGAGTAATGTGCAATACAATACATTTAATGTGCAAGATGATACATTTAAGGTGCAAAATTTCATGGCAAAGAAAGCAAGTACTATCATTTTTGCCTCATCTTGTAATTATCTGCAATTTGATCATTTCTATCCCACATCACTTGGCAATCTGCTATCTCCTATCTTCTTTGCAGGCTATCTCCTTCCTGTAAAAATGCTATAGTGAGAACTTCGACACTGGAGATGAGCTCCTCGGCGGACAGCGACTGGAGAGACCTGGATACGACTCCGGAGTTCCGCGAGTTCGTCGGGAAAAAGCTGGACCAGGTGGTGGAGTGCATGATTAAGGAGAAGGACAGGTGCAAGCATCTTCGGCCAGTGCCGGTGGAGGGCAGTGTTCAGCTGTTCTCGGGGGCGCCACCGCTGCAGGTGGCCGACGAGGCCGCGCCTGAGCCGGCGCCCAAGCGGCCCCGGCTGGCTGGCGTCGACCTGCAGAAGTACCAGCTGAAGAAGAAGAGCCGCTGCGAGCGGCGGCCGACCGCCGGCGACGGCCGGGCGGCGCCACCAGACGCCTCGAGCTCGGCCTTGGGGGCGCTGTCGCCGCCCCAGAGTGAGACCGGAGCTGCTGCGGCGCCAGGTGACGGCAGCTCCGACAGCAGCGATGACGAGGACCTGGCTCGCTTTGCGGAGGCCGCCGTACCCGCGGACTTTATGTCGGCACTAGCGACGAGTAAAACGGTGAAACTGGACGCGACGTGATTTTGTGTGCCTTGTCCTCCGCAGATTGTAGATTGCGATTGGAGAGATCGCAATGGCTTATGATGCTTTTGGTATGTTGATATGCTGGCAAGTTTTTTGTAATAAATGATACTGCGTTGTGTATTCACACTTTTTTGGAAAACTGACAAGTAGGCAGTTGCGCGACCAAAACACCGAGAAGTCCCATTTGTGTAGTGCATTTGTACCTGACGTCTGTTATTTCAATAACCAACCAGCCCAAGAGGTGCACTCATTTCCCCGAACCAGGCCCGCAATGTGTGTTCCGCGCGGTGTGGATACCGCGCCTCAGCGGTAGACTGACTTCACAATGGTAAAGGCTTAAATCCGCAACCTATTATCATATGGTACTGTACCGCGATTGGCCGTGACCGCGTTCTGTACCGTGATTGACGTGATATGGCGACGCTAAATAACTTGGTATGCCTTGTCGTCTAAACCCCAGCTGGCTGGGTTCCTCGCGCTTAAGTTTTTCGCCTGATGCTTGTGTTGGCGTCAAACTGCTTGTCCGCTACGGTACTGAGCAGGGGTGTAGTTTCACAACATAAGTCGATTGGCTGCTTGATGATTGGGTTGGGGGAGGATGAACAATGAAAAATTACAAACCTACCCTTAAAATATGCCAACAGGTTTAGAAACAGGTTTCTTGCTGGGTTTGGCCCATTTTCTTCTCAAAGTTAGGAGGCTGGTGCCCAAGTTCGGGGGGGGGGGGGGCTTTGGCCCCTCTTCTCAACTGAATAGGAAACTACAACCCCGGTAATGATGTACTTATGTTTTGTCTCAATTGGTTTCAGTTCTGTTAATTTGTGTTAAAGACTTAACGTCAATGTCCTCGTCGCAATTTGGAAACGTCTCGTCAGAACGCGACAGCAAGCAAAAGGTTGTGCCTTAGATTTAAACGAAATATTTTCACCTGCCAGTGATAGCGATTGCCGCAATTTAGGTTCGAAGCCGACGCTTGTATTCTCTCACCACCGCGACCTGTGCGACTTTAAGTAGACATTCAGTTCATGGCCGATACTTGCGGTCAGTGGGATGAACCTTCAAACACCACACAATGCTTTATGAAATCCTCCATCTGATCAGGTTGGTCTGCTGGAATATTGTCATCGCCTTGGCTATAGTCAGTGAAGGTTAGCAATGAAAAGCCAGAAGGAATATCGTCGTTTTTATCAAGTCAAAACATGACGTGAGACACTTGCGAGTGGTTGCGTTGTTGCTAAATTATGAAGACCAATCGGACGAGGCTTATACCTCAAGGTTGTCCTAAAAAAAGAAAAAAATGGTGAAACGAGTAACTTTGCGTCAGCATTTGTCACTTAAAACAACAACTCAACTTCAAAGCATCCCGACTACCCAGCGAATGCGTCTGAGTCACCTGAAGCGCTGCTAGTCTCCCTGCAGTCATCCGGCATCATGCGTCATGCGCCAGACGACGGTACGCCATTGGATGGTGTGCATGTAGTTTGCGGGGTTTAATAAATGCATTCATGCGGATCAGAGTGAGGCTATTTCGCCTTTTCGACCGGGCGTAGACAGCCACGGTATCTAAGTCGGTGATAGGATACTTCATGTATGTCACCGCGCCCGAGAAACGCGGGCCGTTCCGGGCATGTCACTCTTATCAGGGGGGCCCGCCCGTAGATCGGAGTAGTGGCATTCCTGGGTCGTTTACAAATTACTTAAAACTGAGTGATCCACGATCCGGGAACGAAATGTCAGCACCAATGGCCAACACGTCCCACACTGCCGCGCATCTCACAAATTCCTCTCATTCGTCAGGCCGCCGCAGCTGCTGTCTATTCTTCCAAAAATATGGACAAAATATTTATGCTAAACTACGCGTCACTTCCGTCGTAGTTTAGCAGAAAAGCACTACAAACAGGAAACGCTAACATTCGCTTGGCGAAAAAAACAACATAATAAAATGGCGACACAGGACTCAACAATGCTGATAGTGGAGAATGGCCGCCGCACTACGCTTCAGTTTGAGTGCGGTGCAGCCCCAGTATTTGTCTGAACGATGATCATATGGTATGCCCTATGCTGGAACCTGTGACAGCCCCCACTGCGCTAACGTCTGACTCTAAGCTGCTTTAACGGTGTTTCCTTGAACAAAGAACGGACGATATGCCATCGGTATGGCACACGTCCCGACGCGTCACTTCCGACTGTCCGCTTCGGGAAGCCGGTCTCCGCTCTACCCGCCGCCCACGACAGTTCACTGCTTGCTGCGCTTCGCCTCCTGCTCTTGTTGCTCCACCGGTCGCTTCGTCCCCTGCTCCTGCTGTACCACGTCCCGCTCCTCCGGCTTCCCCGGCTCCGCCGGCCGCTTCGCCTCCTGCTCCTGCTGCTCTGCTGGCAGGTTCACCGGCTTCGCCTCCTGCTCCCGCTGTTCCGCCGGCGGCTTTGCCGCCTGCTGCCCCTCCGATCGTTTGCCTGCCTTGCCCAGCCAGTTGGCCATGAAGCCGGCCGAAGCTGAGCGCTTGGTCTCGTCCAGCGGCTTGTTCGTTACCTCCTGGTTGCGTGCGTTGTTGATATCCGCGGACACAGGATGCCAGGCAAGCGAGTCCGCGGGTGTGATCAGCGCCAGCGCCGTCTCGTCCGACGTCTCCGCAACCGACAGCCAGTCCCGCACCGCCTCCGGCGTGACGAGGAACACCGGCATCCTCGAGTGAAGCCAATCCAGGCGCGAGTTGGCCGCCTGGGTCAGGATAGTAAAGCTGTAGAGCGGCTGGTCACCGTCCTGAAACCACAATCACATCGTGATGCTGTTCGTGCGCGAAACTCACGGTGTGCGACGCTTAAAATCACAGCTTAGAAAAGACAACGCCGAAAGTCGTTAACAGACCGCGTCAAACAAAATGAAACTACGGAAATAGGAAGCTACTAGTTTCTTTCTCGAGTACAGGACAAGTCCAAAGGCAGAAGCCTTTCATAACGATTCTTTTAAAAAAGGCGAAACTTTCATACCAAATTGTCACAGGAGAATGACTTACCGATTTCCATGACTCAAATATGCCAGCCATCATTGTGAGCTTTGGCCCCTTCCATCCCTCGGCCTCACTCCACAGGTCATCTTCATCCAGGCTGTTCACATTGGTGCAAATGTCCCACTGAAATTCGTGTCTAGTTAAAGAACCTATACTTAAACGCTACACGTTATTACAAGCCAATGGTGAGTTTATCCGATGCATACATCACTGTCACGTGTGTGGGCACGTATTCATACTACTGTAGACGAAATTGGGTAAGTTTGAGCTTGTACAAAACGGCTTCTTTTTCAGCCACAAAATACCATCCTCGGCAAAAAAATGCGTGGGGTTGAGCACTTTCGGTGTTTTTAAGTTTTTGAACAATGCTAGATTGATTTTGTGGCATTGAATGACGTGATCACACGAGGTTTTCTTCCCCGAGGCAGGACGAGGGGGGCGGGGGCGGCTTAACAAACTAGAAGAGACTGCCCAGTAGCGCAGAGACGAGCGATCAAAAAATCATTGGTGCACTACCCTGGTGCGCGGCCAGTGTCACCCGGCCACACAGTTGGCTGCTGAATGTCGTACCGTCTGCGACAGCAACGCATTCCAGTTGACCGCGTTTCGTTCCAATTTGACCGCCAGCGGGACTCTGGGCAACATATGCCAAAAGTTCGCAATCTTGCAGTTTTAACGGAAGTATGCTATGCTCTACAATGTTCCATTAGGCAATGATTTGACCTAATATAATGTCGTCGAGCTAATCCATTCCCCCCCCTCCCCCTCCCGATCGGGTCATGTGGTACCGAGAAAACACGAAGTATAATATAGTTTGCTGGGTTAAAGCCTACTTGTTACTTACATCTTTGCGTTGTTCACTGTACAAGAAGTACGGCTTTTTACCAGCTCCGTCCTTTTTCCACTCGTAATAGCCATCACAAACAACGACGCATCTGAAAATCGCACGTAGTTAGGTAAGCACCAGCCCATTAGTTTGATTCCAAAACATGATAAGACTGATTAAAACTTCCATAGGTCAAAGTTCTTCACCACCAGATGAGGTTAGAGTTGTATACAACCACCAACATTAGATCATCGCAAAAGACCATGCAGTGATAAGTGATACAATTTGATATAGTGATACAGCATCCAGTGAGTTCCAAATAGAAAATGATACGCAAACTTTACCTTTGACCTTTCTTGAAGGGGTGGGAAAACATGGACTTCTTCAGGAACTCTTCAGAGCGAGCGTTGAACGTCGAAAGCTTCATGTCTGCCACCTGTCCCTGCAGATGCATTATTGTCATGCTTTACGCCTCGCATTATCATCTCCTGGAATGAAATTGCCTATTCCCAGTCCAGCAAGAGTCTGTTTAAGAGCATAAACTACGGCACCGTGGCCATAGTCCCATAACCATCCGCACATACAACAATTAACTCTACCTGGAGCTTTATCTAGGGTATGCCACCTTTATGGGACCTAATATCTGGACGCATTCTGCGTGGAAAATACACACCAGCATTTCCCTTATCGCGTGTTATCAACACCAGACAGGCAAGCAACGGCAATCGCCGCACCTTGTGGAAGAAGGGCACCAGGCCCCATCGCATCGGCATCACCACGCGCTCGTCGTCGGCACAGCCGGCGTGCTGTCCCCGGACCAGCACCGGCAGCGTGCCTGAAACAGACACACGTCGCCTTCAGCGCACCGCCCGATGAGCGGAAAGGCTGGGGTGACGGGACCCAGGCCTGCTGCTAGGGCCGCCACTGAGTGTGCGCAAAACGACCTCCTACATGATTTGTGGAATGAAGTGTTTGAAAGAATCCTCCTTGCCATTGAACAAAAATTATAAGACCATGAAGTCCCCGCCCACTTTCGGAAAGCAAGCTTCTCAACAATTTGAGGACCACTGAGCAATGGGCCGAATCCATCGGGAAAATAGTGGCAAAAAGGTAACAACGAAACATATTAATTCAATAACGGCATGGTCACGAGCTGCGCAACTTACAAAGCCCTCCGATATTAAATGCGTATGCCACAGGAAAAGTCCTTCGTCACCGACCTCTATTGGATTACACTCATTACCGAAAACATGGGGCATACCCGTAGGAGCAATATTATAAGATGGGTGATACGCCTTTGATCCCGGCTGGTCCACCCAGCGAGCTTTGCGGAATTTCCCGCCGCCGCCTCCCTTCTGCTCCGCTTCTGGGACATAGCCGCAGGCGCTGCGCACTCTGTCAGGCTGCAGCGTGCTGAGGACATCGGTAAATATAGCCTGATGCATATCTACGTTCAATCGTGTTTCACCGAAAGACAGCAGCGAATTTAAACGCTAGGATGTATATAGAACACGGTACGAAGAGACCCATCACGAGAGAATGACAAGCCGTTCACATGGCTTCATTATACAGCCTATGGAACCATTCTGACATATCTAATGCGTCCGAGGTTCTGGCAAAATAACCTCAAGCTAAGCTTTCACAATGCATTTATCACAGCTGACGAATAAATTAACAAGGGACAAATCTTACCAAGCAGTTCGTCCACACATTGCAGCAGACTGCGTCGTTGGTGACGGTCTCGTGCACCCTGGGAAGGTATTCCGAGAACACAATGTCGCTATTAGGCCAAGCGCCAGGTGGAAAGGCACACGTAATGTCACAGCAAGTCACACCTTGTCCCAGCTGCTCCAGACAAGACCGCGCTCACAACCGATGTGCTTGAGCACGAGCATGGACGGCAACTTTACCTGCGACTCTAAATCAACATGCTTCATTCGCGTTATCAGCTACGGTTAACCTAGCAAATTAGGTCGACCAAAGCAAATCGCATTCCGGATAACGTCTGCGTGAGTTCGGTATGTTCACACCGCGACGCCGATCCCATTCAGATTACATCCCCTTTATATCGCGCAAGTAGAGGGACATCATCCGAGGTCATCGAATGATGACCGATGGCCGAATGACGGTCATCGGCCGAATGACGGCCACAACGGCCATAGCGAGGGGTGTGGAATCCGAACAAGCTCCGCTTTGTTCACAACCATGTTCAGCATTGCATAAAAACAGGGACTAGCCCTCGACACGAAGTCTGGTGATCACGACGCCCTGGGTTTCGACATAACTATTAGCGGTTGTTTCTCGCTAGTGAGAATCCCGTGTATCATTCGTCAAATATCCTTCGGTCTCCTCCAACGTGCGTCATAACCTCATGACAATGGTTGTGGTAGTTGCCCCCTTCGAGTTACTGGGGAAACGTGTGTCTGACAACAGCTCTTGAACCAATGGACCAATGGACCGAGGGAAATGATTCAGGGTCTAGCCGACAGCACAGATTTTTTTCCTGGCGTGACAAGACCAGTGCTGTTCACTTCGCTTTGATGCCGATTGACGTCCTTTTTCAGAAATATCCACTCCAACTTGATCCGTTAGAACATATCTAGTGTCTTGCTCAGAAGCGAAAGGTGAACAATGGTGTCCCTGATGCCGTTTCCAGTCAGCAGGTACCTGGCTACGATTTGGGTGAGATTAACTGAGAAAAAGTCCTGTTGTGCACCTACCATACCACAGAAGAAACAGCAGATTTATGGCCCAAACATAGTGTTGATTCATAATTCAATATCATATGTCATGAACACTCATTTGTGTGGTGCCAGATGTGCTACTTTTAAATGACTCAAGGTCATAGCAGGTCTTGTGACATGATCTGACCTAAAGTCAGACATTTAATCAGTCATTAAACGTAACACCCATTTTCCAAAGAAATGCTTCCATATGCTTGGGAAATTATGGTAATTAAGATAGGAATTACTAGATTGCTATAACAGCAAAAACAAGGCAGGGAAGCCATGCAACATCTGGGGGATTTATGGTAAATTGATGGTCATGATTTTTCTCTTTTATGCAAATGTCCAGCTGGGCAGGCAAATAATTAAGGAGCATCCACTTCATCCTTCATTCTAATGCCTCAAATGGAGTCCAAGAAGTAAAGTTGGTTTTAGCAAGTTAAGATGTTGGTTGGTAGGAAGCTGTTATACTATTCCAGCAAGTTTCAGACTGGTATGTTATGTTATTACCTTAAAGGGCCTCCAAATGACAAGACCTGTTAAAGAAAAGTTAAGATGATAACTTATCATACTAGCCCAAACCAGTCCACTGAGGAATGAAGTCAGAATGGATGCTATGAATCCTTATGAGTCTGTAACATCTTGCTCCATGAAAACACAGTGAGTAGTAATTACCTCCTTCAGAGGTATAGGCACATTCATACTCTAAAACCAGGCTGCTTATTGTTCCACGAACTACATGATGCTGATATCATACCATTTTCAGTTATCCAGACCACCTGTCCTGCATTGGACCATATCAATTTACAACGCTGGCACAGCACCACAGCGTGTTTCAGCATGCTCCACGTCAAACATGCACCGTGAGGCTACGGATCAAATGAATAACAAAGGATGCGTGCCTCTTTATCGGTAGGAATTTCAGATACCACCGCTTTGCAATAATAATTAACTTCATTTACTCAAAACCCCTCAGACTAACATACCTTGAACCGCTTGGACCCCCGCCAGCAACTTGCACGTTCGCGCTTGCGAATGCTGAGCGTGCGTATTTGTAAACAATGTAGATCACCTCCGTCCTTGCTGCGTCGGAACTGTAACCATATGGTAGCCCAAAATTATTGCGGAGAGGGAGATTTTGGTATCCTAGATGAAAAACTTGCGTGCGGAACACTAGGGCACGGACAAGCGTGCGTCACGGTGAGCATCATAGGGCATCTGAATTATTGGCTTTTGGATTCCATAAAATTAGCTTTACGCGAATCGGTCATGTTATTATAAGCCTCCTCCGCTAGCAGAGGCTTGCATCCCTGGCAATTCTGCTGTTTGTGGACATCTTCCAGGATATAGGAGCCGAGCGAGCGCATATAGGTCAGAGCTGCCACCAAAATTCGACTTCAGGGAGGGAAAATCAATGCTCAGTGGTAGGCAGTCCTCAAGAGGGAGGGGAAGGCATGCCAATTTCTTGGAGGAGTGTGTGAAAAAATCCCTGCGGATCCCAAGGGAGAGGGAGGGAGGCAGCACAACGCTACAGTGGGGTCGAATGTCCCCTCTCCACTACCGACACAGTACGCATATATAATGCAGGGTCTGTGAAAGCTCCCCGCAGTAAGCCGACCCCGGAGCTGGCTTGCCAAAACTCCGCGTTGGCCCGGGAGTGACAGTGCTGACCCGGGAGTGACCGCACTGACCCGGGAATGATCGCGCTGACCCGGAAATCACCGTGCTGACTCACATTTTGTGCCAACATGAAGACACAGCGACTGTTGGCATAATTGTCCAGTCGATCAGTTCAACACAGGACTTGGTGGCCAGGTTCCGCGACGGGCTTCAGCGCAGCCCGCCGCCTCCATTTCTGGGCAAACGTAAGATGAGGTCACCCATCTTTGGGTATGCGATAGGTTTCTGGTTGGGCACGGAGTTTTGTGCCAGCACAGGACGTGGTCAATGGCTAACAGCTTTGGACTACTACTTATTGTGGTACGGAAACGCAGTCAACGGCTATGCAGCTTCAAGCTACTGCTTTTGCGGTACGACTTTTTTCTGTTAGTGGCCATGAGATCCGTATCAGTATGGAGCACGGTAACCGATCACTGGCTAGCACAAAATAAGATTTCAAGCACTAGGCCCACACGACGGGACTACAAGATAAGACAACCATATTCTTCAATTTAAGTGGAACACAATTTTGATTTAAGCAGAAGAGCCGTCATGCAGAGGTGGATCCAGGGAGCAGGCACTGGACGCACGTGCCGCTTCCGATCAGTAAGTAAAGAGGCCGCCTTAGGGTGCCGACAGCGCACTTCTATGACAGCCATGGGAGGTGGCACGTATTTTGATTGAGGGGGGGACGTGAGTAGGTTTATCATGAAGGACTTCGGTCATCCCCGTACTTCAGAGCTTTTCACTCTAACCTTACAACTCTTTGGATGTCTGATGACCCTAGGTGTGTAAAGCTTAATGCACCGTTTGCCAGCTCAGCACTTATTATTTTCATCTGGTGGTGCGAGCAGCCACGATTTTATTTTGAGGAGGGAGAAGGTTCTAGGGGGGTGGGGGAGGTTCTCTTGTTGGTAGGCGCAGAGCTATATGCGAGAAACATACTTTCTCAAAGCTAAGATTTTCCGTGGCAAGCAAAGTGTGCGCGAAAATTTTGGTCACATTTTGGCGCCCCACTGCATTTTCAGCTAAAATTTTTGCCTCGACGTCACCGAGTTACATTAACTAATACTTGCACGGAATTTAAGCTAAAAGCAAACCGGTTGATGCCTAAAATGCACTGCACAAACAGCGATTGGAATGACTTTACTGTAAATGTGGTGTAGAAAACGCATGTGCCTTTAAAAGGATCGTCACATGCCTACTTATGATTAACACGCGGTGGGGTGAGGAGTCAGATTGGTCCCTCCCTCCGAAGGTTTTCCATGATGATTTCCGGCCAGCGTAGCGAAGCCGTTCCTAGCGTTGGCAGATACGCAGCCAGGGTGTAGTACCCTGTTCAGTTGGAGGGGGGGGGGGGCTTCAGTCCCGTTTTCCAACTTTGGGAAGAAAACCGGCAAAATCCGTGGAGAAACCTGTATGTTGGCATGTTTTGAGGCAGGCTTCGCCTTTTTTACTGTTCAGCCGCCCTCCCCCCCCCCCCCCAAACTCATTTCGCGAAAATGCGCCGCTGTGGACAGCTATGTATAAACGACAAGCATGCCTGTCTATGGGGAGGTTAATCATCCAGCTGCATCAACAAAGCTTTGCATAGCTATAGGCAATTGAATAAAGGATCTTTAGCTATAGAAAGATACATGTACATCGTCAGGTCGTTGACCTATGACAGGTCAAAAAGGCAGGCAGTGACTGTCAGCAAAGGCAATTGCTGGGGAATTGTCCAATCTGATGCGACAACAAAATGTTAAAATGATGCGTCTATGAGGGTTTCTTAGACAGCTATCAGATTGTGGTTAGGATTGCGACAAATTCCATCGAACTTGGATCAAGTATGAAGTCAAACAGTTAACTCAGGCAGTTAAGTCTCAGTCAGTCAGTTTTTTAGTCGGTTAGTTTTAGCCGTTCAGTCAGTCAGACAGTTTTTACTCAGTCAGTCAGTTTTAGCATGCGACAGGTCAAAGCTTCACCGTCTCTTCACTGAAAGACGTGCTATATTGGGTGTATATATATATATATATATATATATATATTACGTAATACGTACGCTATGGTTACGCTTAGTGAAGACCCATCATCCTGGTCATGTTGCATGACGTGCCCCCAAAATTGCGTCCGTTCAGCCCTTAGCTGTGCTGGAGATTTGAAACAACTAATGTATGTACCCTCGGGGCTTTTAGATGCACTCAGATGCTGAGGCTATGTGGCGTCCATTGCCCCTTGCCCGGGAATGGCGGGAATCGCGGGAAGCGCGGGAAAGAAACAAATGACAACGAGCGACGGTGGCTTGCCGGGGGGGCGGACGACTGCTTTTGGCTATGGGGGTTTTGCAATATTTTCTCACGGTCTTAGCACGCCCTGCAACAACAGCTGAGTGTAACACCATGCTGCCCATTTCCCCTTGTCAGGCCTCGGCCACGCTCCAACAAATATTCATTCCGCCTCCACGGGTAACGCAATTTATGGACGGTTCGGATATGTCGGAAACCGCTGCCGCCGAGAATAACTCCATCGAAATTGATTGCGGAACTGTTTCGTATGCCTGGAGTCACAATCGGAATCGTGCCGCGCTTCTCGGAGCCATAGTTGGAACCTGCCCATGCTATGTGTGAGCCTGAGCCGGGGGTAATTCGGAAAGAAAGTAGTTAACCTAAGTCCGGCAACTACCACTGAGATCTTCTGGCTCTGGCGACGGCACACTCCGAAAAGGCTGAGGAAATCCGCCGTTATTTCCCATGCTCGCGGCCCCTCAAATCGTCCTGTCGCTCCGTGCGTCCGGAGCAAGCTGCATGCGCCATCAATGAGTGGGTCTGTGTCGTCGTGGCGTCGGCCCCGCCCGAGCGCCGAGCTCCTACCTCACATAGGGCTCCCCGGTGCGGAGGACCGAGAGGACATCCTCAGCGGAGGATTTCATAGGTGAATGGAGTTTTGTCCCATCGCTAGCCATTCTCCTTCATCCTACAGCCCTGAAATAGTCACTACTGGTCGAAGGGCCCATATCTAAACTAAACCGAAAGCTGGGGTGCGAAATTTGCTTTTATCTTGTGCTTTTTTTTCTTTTTTTTGTTCGGACGGAGCGATAAGGCCTATGTTACATTCTGTCACGGTTACGGACACCCCTATTCCTGTCTGTGCAGAACCTTCGGCGTACAGCCAAAGATCCGCCATGTACGCGCCAGGACTTTTCAGGGCAGGCGCCCGATGTACGAGACGTCATGTCAGAGATCGTCCTAATCTACGTTGACAGCGACTGTACTTCGCGCCCGCGCCGCGCGCGCGCCTCGCCGATCACTGCCGCGCCTCGCAGTCGCGGAGCGCGGGCGAGGAGTGGGGGTGCGGCGCGCGCGATCGTGTGCTCCAGTTGACTCGCGCGGTGTGGACAGGCTGCCGACGGCGGACGGCGCGCGTGGTGACGGCCCCGTGCCGAGCCGTAGGGCGTCGGCGGAGGGGCAGACTTGGCGGAGTTCCGGTGACCGGTGGCCGCCCCACGCAGGTCACACGCACCGCCAGTGGCCGCGGCGCGCACACGCGTCGAAACCGGGTCAGCCGGCGTGTAGTAACGGGACCTGCGCAGCCGTCACAACAGCTCTGTGGGACCGCCGACGGCGCCGCATCCAGCATGGAGTCGGCACAGGTAGGCAGGGTGCCGCTCGAGTGCCGGGTCGTGGCGAGCCTGCATTGCCCGGTGCAGGGAACATCCGGCTATGAAGCGCCCAGTTATGTCACCATCCGTGCCACTCATTGCGGTCAGGTCTCGGGGGTCGGCTCACACTGATGCATGCTCATCTCGTACTCAGACGATATGCATACATGTATGTGCGTATGTATGTATATCTCGATACGCCAATCGATGAGAGTTTTTCGGACATGGCAAGGGCACCATGCCTCCCCAGGTTGTGAAGGCATCACGCTATAAGGCTTCAACACGATGCAAAGAATATGAATCATACAGACATGGAGCAAGGCGCCATTCGATAGGTGCATCGTTAACAAAGTAGCCAAGGGCTCGGGCGCGATCAAAGCCACGAGAGCGTCCAATGGGGGAGTTTATTCTCCGCGGACTTCAGCCGCCGACGTTGTGACGGAGTCTGACTGAAGCCGCACAAGCCATCGAGTGAGAGCCCACAACTGCAGCTGGGCCTTCGTGGGCGCGCAGGCACAGGCCACCGGACCGCTGCATGGTGCACCCATGCTGTGACGGAGTGCAGACGTTACATGTGCTGGGAGAGGGTGCGACGTCACGTCCGTGTGACGCGCAAAGCTAGGCCTGAATGCCTGAATATGAAGATGTGTGTCTGTGCTGGTGTTTGTGTAAGTATGGCCATGGACGGCCTTTTTGTGGAGTTCGCTTGTACGGTAGCGTGGTCTTACTGAGAGCAAAAATGATCGTCACGCTTACGAGAATACAGGGCTGCTTCTACATTGTCGGCCCAGGAACAAACCCGCGATGCTGATGATCTCGTTACAGCTATCGCTATCACTGGCCTTAAAGTGATATTCATTCACGGACCACATCGGAGAATCATGGACTTATCCTGCTCTACCGGCTGAGGAAGTTTTGGTTTGCGCTGCGCTGAAAATTGTTCACACTCAGAACCCTTCTTCAGATTCACTGCGGTTTGTTGTAAATGTTTTCTGTTGTAAACCATTCCGCGGACTGCGCCGCCTCATTCAGCCTCCCCATTCGCTGCCGATCCCGGCGAATTCAGCTGTTAGCTCAGACTGTATTGCATCTCCCTCGCGCTCAGTCGCGTCCGCGAACCTCGGGAGCCCCGGGCCGAACCTCGGGGCCGGCGGCGGGGCAGGACGAGGAAAACACGCGTCACGTGACCACCGTCCGCCGGCAGCACATGGCCATACCGGGCCAGTTCCGGTGACAATAACATAACCTTTTACCATCTATGGCCGCGCCGTAACTGGCGTCCAGCAGCACCTTGTTACAAGCGAGAATGCTCGAAATGTATAACTCTATTTGCCACGTTATCAGGAGGCTGCATCATTATTGCTTGGCATGGTGCGAAAGCCGCCCGGTTTTCAAACTCGCCAGCTGTTTCCGCTTGGCGACAACGACCCCAGCCGCTCTTGCAGCAGCTTTTCGCTTGACTTCTGCAGCCCGTCTGTACTTAGTGGCTCCGCGTCGACGGTAACGGCTGCAGCCAGACAGTCACGGCTACGGTAACGGCTTGATGACGCCTGCCTCTGTCGCGGCGCCGGCTGCCTGTCCCCAGAGCCGTCCACGTGGGAATGGTACCAGACTGTCGCCGAGGCTGGTCGTCTGTAACGGCCGCAGTCGTGCTGGCCGCGGCCGACCTGTGTCATACGGCCGGCGGGACCTAGCGGGGCTGGCAGACCGGCCGGCCCGCCGTCGGGTGGTGGGCGGCCGAGCATGCGCCGACACCGCCTGATGGCCGGGCGAGCCCGCGCCGACACCGCCTGATGGCCGGCCGAGTCCGCGCCGATACCGAGTGATGGCCGGCCGAGCCCGCGCCGACACCGCCTGATGGCCGGCCGAGCCCGCGCCGACACCGCGTGATGGCCGGCCGAGCCCGCGCCGACACCGCCTGATGGCCGGCCGAGCCCGCGCCGACACCGCCTGATGGCCGGCCGAGCCCGCGCCGACACCGTGTGATGGCTGGGGACCGGCGGTCGCCAGGCACCGAAGTGCCTCGACCTGCGATGGCACAGCGACCAGCGCCACTGTCAACACATAGCATCGTTAGCGTAAGCATGATCACTACACCGTCAGCACAGCGACAACGCGCGTTATCAGTTACGACCAGCACCACCCATACACCCACCACCACCATCACCAGCACCAGCACCGCCAGCATCAATAACACCAGCGGCACAACAACGCCGGCACCATTAGGGAAACCAACAACCGTAACACCAAGCTGCCAACACCATCCAAACCGCCAATGTGTGGCTGTTTGTTGACGCATGTGAAGGGTGCGGTGCCCGGAGACACGACGACAACGTCGATGTTTGTCAGTGGCTGCGGCTTATTGCTGGAGGTGTGAACGAATTGTCGCGGTCGGTTCTCTTGCCGTTGCCACATGACTGTCGCAGTGGGTTCAGTGGTCTGTGTGACAATGTGCGGTCAAACCTTTCCCTTCGATCGTGAATGTGAAAATTGTTGTCACGGCACCGCGACTCTCAAGCTTTGCCCTCATGTCTGCGTGCTGGGTGAAGATGCCATGGTGGGAGAGCAGTGCGCACGTGGCCTTCAAAGTCACCAAGATATTGTCCGAGCCATTTCATCTCCCTTTCGTTCACCCAAAGTCTAGGAAAACACTAGGCCTGGGAATGAGTAATGTGCATCGGTCAAGGGCGTTGGATGCCGACTACACCATTATTGTTTACATCGGTGCTGCGTGGAGCAAGGCGGGCTTTGAGGATCATTACATTCAAGGATCATCCTCTTCGATCACGTTGAGGTATGTAAGCTCTGTAAGCTCTGTAAATACTATAAGTAAGCTCTGTGAATATTGCATGCCTATTAACAGTGACATTACAAGGGTGTAGAAGTGTTGTTTTGTTCGCGTCCGCGCAAGAGATGTCACCGAATACTTTTAGCAAGTTTGAAAAGTTTCCGTAAGAAAAGATCTGGCCTAGTGCCTATCCATAAAAACATAATTTTGCCTATGACCAGGCAACCGCAGATTTATCAAATTATGCGGTTTTACAAGCGTGTTTTTAAGTCGCTGCGACACATTTCCAGCCAAAAAATCACTGATAAAGGCGTGTGGCTAGAAGATAAACACCGGAGAGACACAAGAAGTTTTTGCACCGTGCTCCTTCGTTGAAGATACATTGTCAATTAACTAAAGTTCCCGTGTCACTCCGTCTGCATTATTTTATATATCGACGACAAGACGTGAACTATCGCAAAACAATTTTCTGCTGCCTTTGCCTGCAACATCGTACAATTGTAACCTTGAACATTGTGTGTGATCCGTTCTTTGGATGGATTATTTTATTCATGCAGGACGATGTATCAACTGTCGTATTTAACTTGGTACTGAGCTTCAGTGATGCGTAAGCTGTCTGGATACTAGGCTAAAAACACGTTTCTGCCGGTTTTGCTAAGCCTCCGCGAATCTGACGAGCCGATGGAATTCTTGCTGACGGGGTTGACATTGACAGAAGTGGAAAAGTTCCAAGGACAATAACTGTGGCAAGCGCCTTTCAATGAATGCCTTCTGAGATTGAGCATATGTTCAGTGACAAGCTGTCCTTTGGGCCGCCGCCACACGGTCGGACGGATCTGTCGGCTGCTTGCGAGTTATTTTACTAATTCAAAACTACACAATAACAAAAACAAAGACAGCAGGCGTCATCTTCAACAGGATGCCATCTGTAACTGGATAATCGCGTACTTGTATAACATCGGAGATGTGATAGTTGCACGCTTTTAAAACTCAACGACGATCCAGGGACCTGTCCCGATCCACCCCCAATGACTTCCACCATGGCTGATCTGTCCCCCTCCATTCGCGACGACTCATTATTCGTATGTCGTGTGTAGCGGACTCCGGAAGATAGACACCGGCCTGCTGACTGTCCCGACGGGTATCGGTGGACTTATCCGGGAGATAGGGGACACCCGGCTGACTGTCCCGACGGGTAGCGGTGGACTATCCGGGATGATAGGGACACCCGGCTGACTGTCCCGACGGGTATCGGTGGACTGTCCGGGAGATAGGGACACCCGGCTGACTGTCCCGACGGATAGCGGGTGGACTATCCGGGAGATAGGGACATTACCCGGCTGACTGTCCCGACGGGTAGCGGTGGACCTATCCTGGGAGATAGGGGAACCCTCGGCTGACTGTCCGACGGGTAGCGGTGGACTATCCGGGAGATAGGGGACACCCCGGCTGACTGTCCCGACCGGGGTACGGTGGGGGGGGGACTATCCGGGAGATAGGGGACACCCGGCTGGCTGTCCCCGACGGGTAGCCGGGTGTGGATGGACTATCCGGGAGATAGGGACCCACCCGGGCGACTGTCCCGACGGGTAGAGGTTGACTATCCGGGAGATAGGGACACCCGGGCTGGCTGTCCCGACCGACGGATATCGGTGGACTATCCGGGGAGAGATAGTGACAACCCGGCTTGGCTGTCCCGACGGGTTAGCGGGTGGACTATTCCGGGGAAGATAGGGACACCCGGCGACGGTCCCGACGGGTAGCTGGTGGACCTATCCGGGAGATAGGGACACCCGGCTGGCGGTCCCGACGGGTAGCGGTGGACTATCCGGGAGATAGGGACACCCGGCTGGCTGTCCCGACGGGTAGCGGTGGACTATCCGGGAGATAGGGACACCCGGCTGGCTGTCCCGACGGGTATCGGTGGACTATCCGGGAGATAGGGACACCCGGCTGACTGTCCCGACGGGTAGCGGTGGACTATCCGGGAGATAGGGACACCCGGCTGACTGTCCCGACAGGTATCGGTGGACTATCCGGGAGATAGGGACACCCGGCTGACTGTCCCGACGGGTAGCGGTGGACTATCCGGGAGATAGGGACACCCGGCTGGCTGTCCCGACGGGTAGCGGTGGACTATCCGGGAGATAGGGACACCCGGCTGGCTGTCCCGACGGGTAGCGGTGGACTATCCGGGAGATAG